TTGGTTGTACCGACGAACAATTATGTTCTGTTAAGGCTCATACCAGCATTTGTAGATGCTAATGTCAGAGAATTTGTGGACGTTCCAGGGTCAGGTCCAGGCCCAGGCCTGCTCCGCGGTGGCATAACTGCTACTGAAGCTCTCCGCAGGCCCGCCCGCCGCGCCAGCAGTTGTGCACGCACGCAGGCACGCAGGCAGGAAGCTACGCACGCAGGCACGCACCCAGGCAGGTACGCACGCAGGCACGCACGCAGGAAGCTACGCACGCAGGCACGCACGCAGGCACGCACGCACGGAGCAGGCACGCACGCACGGAGCAGGCACGCACGCAGGCACGCACAGGCACGCAGCAGGCACGCACGCAGGCACGTACGGAGCAGGCACGCACGCACGGAGCAGGCACGCACGCAGGCACGCACAGGCACGCAGCAGGCACGCACGCAGGCACGCACGCAGGCACGCACGCAGGCACCCACGCAGGCACCCACGCCCGGCGGCGCCGTGGCCGCGGCCTCTCAAGTTCAGGTTCAAGGAGACCCTGGGATAGGCAGCCCACCAAACACCTCTGCTGAACAAGCTGCCCAGCGCCGGGCGTTTTTCCATAAGCGGAGGCATCAGTCAGCTGCTTTTTGCAATGCTGCAAAAAGCAATGCGCTCAGCAAATTCCGTGCTTTGAACAGGACTACCTCAACGCCTGAGGGCCACACCTGGTATTCGAGGATCTCAACACCTGATCAGAGTCGGCGGCAGTATACTCTGCAAACTCAACAGTGTACTCAGTACACTCTAGTGAGAGTGTGCCCATGAGTACAATCTAACTAGCGTGTACTCAGATGAGTACACAACTTCAGCTGCATAAATTGCCAGGCGTGCTTAGGTGTGTACTCATCTGAGTACACGCTAGTTAGAGTGTACTCATCCGAGTACACGCTAGTTAGAGTGTACTCATCCGAGTACACGCTAGTTAGAGTGTACTCATGAGCACACTCTAACTAGAGTGTACTGAGTACACTGTTGAGTTTGCAGAGTAGTGGTGGTATAGTGGGGTGCCTTGGGGGATTTCTTTCTTTGGACGGCGAGCGGCGAGACGAGCTCACCGCCGCCTCCTCACCACTAGAGGCCTAGAGTGACGGAGAAGCGCGGGCGGCGTCGCGCGCTGGCGGCCATTTGTCTGGGCCGGCCCAGAGGGGAGCGGGGAGGGGACAGGGGAGCGTAGCGGGCAGCGGTGCGGTAAGGTGGGGCGAGGCGGAGCGCAGCAGACAGCCGGAACAGTTTTTCGGCCACAGCTCGAAAACCGTTCAAGTTAGAGGGGTACAGTAAGCGAGCCGATTGTAGCTTGTACAGAGACCTACAATCGGCTCGCTTACTATACCCGTCTATCTACAACGGTTTGGAAGCTGTGGCCGAAAAACCTTCTCCAGCCGTTCAGTCCGTGCGCCGCCATTTTGACCGGAATATGAGAGAGCTCTCCGGCCGCGCGCGGGGAGTATGAGAAACTGTTGGTGCGCTTATCGGCGCCCGCGCTTCTCCGTCACTCTAGGGCTCTACTCACCACTCTCTGCATCAATTTAGCCTTAGCCTTGAACTCGCGCTGCTCGCTGGGGGCTCCGCCCCCAGACCCCCGCATGTGTGGAGCGCGTGCCGAAGTATTTTCAGTAAGTCCATGGTGACCAAAGGCAAATTTTCTAAGGAAGTGAATGTCCTGCTTCTTTGAAAGCTCTATTTAACCGCTTTTGACCATATAATAAGGCTACTTTTACTGCCCAAATACATAGCTTGTATTGCATTGGCTACTGTGGCAGTCAATGGGTGCATACAAGGTCCGGAAAATATTGAAGACAGCTTTGACAAGGATAGAGGTGAAAGGAAAAAAACCTAACGTCTCTACGACCACTCCTTGACCCCAAACATTTCTTTGAGTGAGTAAGTGAGTGAGTCAGTCAGTCAGTCGGATTGGGGCTATAATGATTCGTGATGATGATTGCCCAATTGCCGGTGGCGGGGTCCCGATTACGGCACAGTTTCGGAAATTCTCGACCAGACCTACCGATGGGGCGAATAAAAATTTTTAGTCATTCGGTCCCCTTTTTAGAAGATTGAGTAGGTTTGCTCGGAAACAGTGAAAATTTTTTAACTTTTGAAATTATTCTCAATTTTCCCATTAAATTTGGAATGGAATGGAAAAACCCGCAGGTCTCTACGACCACTCCTTGACCCCAAACATTTCTATGAGTGAGTGAGTAAGTCAGTCAGTGAGTCAGTCAGTCAGTCGGATTGGGGCTATATAGGTTCTTGATTGATGAGTGAGGGAGTCAGTCGGATTTTGGGGCTTTACAGGTTCTTGATGACAATTGATGATTGATTTTGAGTATGTTGCCGGTGACGGGGACCCGATTGCGGCACAGTTTCTGAAATGTCCCGACTAGACCTACCGATAGGGTGAATAAAAATTTTTAGTCGGTCGGTCCCCTTTTTTGAAGATTGAGTGGATTTTTTAAAATTTAGGCCTATTTAATCGTTTTTGAGGATGTTGCCGGTGACGGGAACCCGATTGCGGCACAGTTTCGAAAATGTCTCGACCAGACCTACCGATGGGGCGAATAAAAATTTTTAGTCGGTCGGTCCCCTTTTATGAAGATTGAGTGGATTTTGTTGAATTTAGGCCTATTTAATCGTTTTGAGGATGTTGCCGGTCACGGGGACCCGATTGCGGCACAGTTTCGGAAATGTCTCGACCAGACCTACCGATAGGGCGAATAAAAATTTTCAGTCGGTCGGTCCCCTTTTTTGAAGATTGAGTGGATTTTGTTGAATTTAGGCCTATTTTATCGTTTTGAGGATGTTGCCGGTGACGGGGACCCGATTGCGGCACAGTTTCGGAAATGTCTCGACCAGACCTACCGATAGGGCGAATAAAAATTTTCAGTCGGTCGGTCCCCTTTTTTGAAGATTGAGTGGATTTTGTTGAATTTAGGCCTATTTTTATATATTTTTATATCGTGTTTAGGATGTTGCCGGTGACGGGGACCAGATTGCAGCACAGTTTTGGAAATGTCTCGACCAGACTTACCGATAGGGCGAATAAAAATTTTTAGTCGGTCGGTCCCCTTTTTTGAAGATTGAGTGGATTTTGTTGAATTTAGGCCTATTTAATCGTTTTTGAGGATGTTGCCGGTGACGGGGACCCGATTGCGGCACAGTTTCTGAAATGTCTCGACCAGACCTACCGATAGGGCGAATAAAAATTTTTAGTCGGTCGGTCCCCTTTTTTGAAGATTGAGTGGATTTTGTTGAATTTAGGCCTATTTAATCGTTTTTGAGGATGTTGCCGGTGACGGAGACCCGATTGCGGCACAGTTTCGGAAATGTCTCGACCAGACCTACCGATGAGGCGAATAAAAATTTTTAGTCGGTCGGTCCCCTTTTTTGAAGATTGAGTAGGTTTGCTCGGAAACGGTGAGAAATTTGTTCCCCTTTTTTGTAGATAAAGTAGGTTTTCTCGGAAACGGTGAGGAATTTTCAACTTTCGGGATTTTTCCCAATTTTCCCATAAAATTTGGAATCGAATGGAAAAAACCGCAAGTCTCTACGACCACTCCTTCACCCCAAACATTTCTATGAGTGAGTGAGTGAGTGAGTGAGTGAGTGAGTGAGTCAGTGAGTCAGTCGGATTGGGGCTTTATAGGTTCTTGATACTGCAAATACCAGGCAAGTCCATAGCGGGGGGGGGGGGGGGGGGTTGCGCCTTCGAGCTATTTTTGTGACGCTGTGCGAGACAGATGGCGCCCACCAAATGCTGTAGAGCCAAACTTGCAACACCAAACTCCACATTCAGTGCTACCAACTGTGGAAAAGGAGGCGGCGAAATACTTTTCACCCGTCTGCGTGTAGAACCCGAGTCTCTCACCATTCTCCAAGTCGGAGTGACGCCTTTTCCCACGCGACCACCGATCGCTTACAAGTGTCCGGGAGCCGGCTCGGCAGAGCAAATGACTGACAGGTGGCAGCACTGCGTCCGGCAGACGCGTATGTGCTGCAGTGGTTGGCCCAACAGCTTCTGGTGGGCGTCTCTCGCACAGCATGAGAGCCCCCCCCCCCCCCCCGCCCCCCCCCCCCCCTTTCACGCGATTCACAGCTGCAGCAGTGCAATTCTTGGAATGCGCGACCGGACACGGGCGCGACCGGACACGGGATACGGGATATTCTGCACGATGCGGCCGTGTAGCGTTTTGCAGGAAAGGGGGGGGGGGGGAAGCCTCGCCACACGCCCTTGCGTGACGATTTCAGGCCGACCGCGCAGGCCGACTGCAGCCTGTGTCCCGCCGTGCACAGGCCGGGGCCGGCCCGGCCAGCGCGGCCAGAGTGCCTAGGTGATCGGCCAGCGCAGGCCGCGCGGTTGCGGTATCGCGCAGGTGCGGCAGGTAGGCTCTGGGCTATGCTAGGCAGGCAGGCAGCAGACACCCGGAGCTCTCGTCACTGTCTCTCTTGCACCTAATCGGGGGCGCCCCATGAGTGCGAGATAGACAGGGCGACGAGCCGCCGGCCATTACCCAGGCCGCCAGAGCCGAACCCCAGCTACTTATCTCCTGACTCGCACCTACTTGGCGGTACAAAAGAAATGTGCGCTTGCCGGATGGTGCGGGGTGCCGCAGTAGGACAGTGGGATTACCGGATTACAGAAGTGGGGTAATGAAACGGTAGTTGTAAAAGCGCATGACAGAACCTGGGCCGCCAGTCAGCCTGTAGTGCTGGCCACTTTCTCTTTCGGTACATACTCAATGCGTTACACTATCGCGCGGGCAATGGCTGTTGTTCGCGCCCGACTGGGCCTCGCATCGCGTCTGGGCAGAGGACAGAGGGCGAGAGAGTAGATAATCACGTGCGGGGTCGATTCCATTCTGGGGAGAGGGTGTGGGGTGAGGGGGCGGGCGGGGCGGGATGGAGGGAGGCCTCGCGGCTCGTCGCGGCAGCCACCACGTCGCGCCGCTCGCTAGTCTACAGTCTAGTGTCTAGCGGGCCACATCGCTAGGCTTAGGTCCGCAGGGACTAAAGTTTAGGAGAGACGCGGTGAGTAAAACAAATCGCAATCAATTCAGTAATCTCAACGTGTTCGTAGGGGTCCCAGCTGGTGTGTAACACCGACGTGGCCGGGCCTGAATATTTGTACTCCTGACGAATAATTTGTTGGTCGGTCCCGAAAAGGCATATACGATCATTTGTGTTCCAGCCGTCAAAGTCAAGTCAACCGCACGGCCGGTTGCCTACCTGCGCGGCGCTACAGCCCGAAGAGCGCCGGGGCTCCGAGTGCCAGGGCCTCTGCGGCCCCCACCTGACTTGTACACCTGAACTCCCTCCGTCACCAGGTGGACAAAGAAGAGGAGACTTCATGGCCACCCTATGTTGAGTAACACCTTTCGGCGCACCCTATACCACACCTGGCCGGTGGGATTTGGAGGAGGGGAAATCGTTATTTTCGGCCTGCCTGCTAGCCAGCCTGCTGCTCTGCTCGCTGTCGCTCGTTCATTCGGCCTCGGCCCACAGAGCAAGACAGCCAGCTCCCATTCAACGTCCAGCATCGACTCGAAAACTGGAATTCACAAAGCAGTAAGTCCCACAGCGCGTCGCGCGGGAGACGGGAATCGGGGTGGGGCGGGGAGTGGGGTGGGCGTGAAGCGTCTATCGTCTAGGCGAAGGGGACGGGGAAGGGGAAAGAGGGGGGGGGGCTGCATTCGCGGCCGCGAGGTGATTCGGCCGCGACGCGACGACGCGATCGTCCGCCATTACAGTGGCGCACCCAAGCTGCTGGTGTAGAGTTAAGTGGGGACGCAGAGTTCAGTCTTTGGTGAGTACATTTAAATAACTTGTAATGCATATCGTTCGGCCATTCAATACCATGTCATGCTGTAAAAATTTCGAAATCAGAAAATGCAGTACAGTTTTTATTATGTTTGCATAGTTAGTGGTTTGACTGTCTGACGTGTAACTGTCTGACTCAGTTGGCTCTATGCAATATAACATTCACTGCAATATATACATATTTATGAAAAAAAAATACCACAAATATCTTTGGCCATAAGACAGCACATTCAAATCAGTTAAAAACACAGGAACCTCTCAAAATATAAGGTTGCTGCAGTCTTCCAGAAAATTCATAGGATCTAAATGAATAAGGTTTTGAAAAGCATGTCAATTCATATAAGGTAAGATAAGTCACCTAGTACTTATTTCAACAAAATCAAATATCTTGTCCCATTGACATACAGAACACTGATTAAAGAATTTATATCTGAACATAATTAGTGATGAGGATTATCCATACTAAATCTGCAAAACTGAAGGAAATAGATCCCGAAAATATTGATTTTGAAAGGTCCATTTATGGAATGTGTTTGGACGGTAACTGCCCAGCCGCTGCCTTGACTAACCTGGCTATCAGCAAACTCAATAAGTGGCGCAACTGCTTTCACGAATAGTATTGATCAATTGACCTTGATCAGTCGTCAGGAATGCGCCTAAGAGATGTCATTCTACCTGCAAACAGGGGTCGTCATTAATTATCTGTTCTGGCCAAATTAATGCTAGAAATGAGCTAGAAAGAAAGGTGGCCTCCTACAAAACATGGAACAACTTCTGCTCTCAAACCTCTATGATAAAACTGAAAAATTGCAGGACATACCTGCTAATCAGACTGAAGTATTTCTTGCAAAAAGGGACTTGCATCTGTAATAACCACTTACTGCCCAAGGCTTAGATCATGCATACCAATGAGCACATCAGGTGTTGCCTGTACAATGGCTTTAGTCCTCCCCAATTTGATGTAAGAAATCTGCAAGTTGAACTATTGATCTTCCCTGATTCTCATGGCAAATGACAAATTCTCCTTATCTTCTTTCTTCCTGAGCTGAAATAAAAACAAAGCACAATTACACTCTCTATAAACAATCACAAACTGGAAAAATCAACATTTCTTGCTGTTGGTTTTCAAAGATATTTAGTGTACACTAGCAGTGCAGAGCTTTACACTATAGGATGAAACTCGTAAAAATAATAGCTTGAATCAATCTCAAATGGGTGCACTGACGTCGCTCACAAACAATCATTGTTTTGCAACAATTCAACATAAATTAAGAATAACCTTTGGCATTAATCATGTCACAAGCCAGATGTTGGCTCTGAACTGAAACAAAGCCTCTCTGATAATATTGGTAGTCATAAATGCAACCAACAAGATAAGAAAGTATCAATAAATATGGAACGCCGCTTAACAATAAAATCATTTTTATTAATAAAATGTTTTATCTTTATATATTCTATATCTAGATCATTACTCCATAAGTAGGATTAGAGGCAATCCAACAGGTTACCAAAAATTCTCATATAAGATTTTAATTGTATATTTAGTTACCTTCATGATAATGCTCTTTCAGCATAGTAGAAGTCTCAACTCTTTTTGAAATGAGTTGGGAAACTTACATTTACTGTAGTACATGTTATCAATCAAATCACTTTTTTAAAGATATTAAGAATGAATTTGGCGTAAAATCAAGTAAGAAGGACTCAGACATGGATTGCAAACACTTAGAATAACATTAAAAGACAGCACATGGAATGTCAAGTCAATACTAGGTCTTGAACAAAAGCAGACCAATGTCGTCTAACACAGTTAAAAAGCCAAGTTATTTTTCAAAATGGTTCATTTTATAACTTTATTTCATGCCAGCGTGTCTCAAACTTTGATCTAAAAGTAAAACTTAGAGTGTGGAAGGTTTCTGTCCAAAGTTAATAGACTTTCAAAACATGCACATGTAATGTGATACACATAAGAATCGACATTTAGAAGTGATATCAAAAATATATGGGACCAATTCTTTCTCCCATTCTCTTGAAGGCGACAGCAACCTTATGGCTAACTCACAAACAGAAATAAGCTTACCTTTGTCATCAAGTTTGCTTCAAGTGTTGTCATATGATGCCGCCTTCCTAAAAGCCAGTGGATTTGCTGAGACACCTTTCGCCTTTGGCTTGCTTTCATGAAGTTCTGTTGCCTGTTGATATAATCAAAATCATAATGCAAATGGCAAGTTAAACTTTACATTACGAACAGTAAGGTAAAAAGAAAAGAAAACACCACTGTTACCTTATCTGTGACAATCCATAACTGCTTCCAGATTTTTCTCGTTGGTACTGCATTGATAATGCTCGAAGGTGTTAATTAGAGACCTGCTGGCTTTGACATCTTTGTCTGCCAGCTCTGCAGTGAACCTAATGATATATTAAGACTGTTAGAGGGCAGTGGTATACTCTCATTCCTTCCTTTCACACCATAAACAAATTCCACTAACTTTCGTAGGAACTGCGCACTTACTTGGACTGTGGTGCCATGAAATTCCTCCAGACTGTTCAGCACGCAGGAAGGCCATGGTGTAATGAACAGACTCCTGAATAAACAACAAACAAACAACATCACTATTGGTTTCTTTATTCATCCTAAAATTTGAAGAGACTTCTATTATTTAAAACCACAACCAAGTAGAGGGGTGGCTGACTTGGTTGGCATATATGAGTGAGAATGTTATCTATCTACTAAGACAATAGCATTTATGCCTCTCCATCAGATTTGGAGTGTGAACCTCCTACTAATTATCTCCAAACTGCGCATTTGATGAAAGCAGCCATTGGAGTCCGTACACAACATTTTGTTAAAATTAAAATTTCTTTGGGATAAATTCATGATACAGTAACTCAATGTTGGTCAAAATATTATCAGGAAGAGTCTGAGAAGAGTCTCTCCAAAGTTATACAAGAAAACAAATATCAGGAGTTCTGTAAATTGGAATGGGGAACGGTTACTTAAATTTTAACAATTTATGATAATTTCTATTGAAAGGCATAGAGACAATACTATTGCAAAGCTTCTCCATCAGAGTTAAAGCCTTAACTTTTAATAATTTGGTTCAAAAGTTTGAAAACCTATGTAACAACTACTTTGAAGAAAAGTCATAAAAATTGTGCTAAACTTAGATTTTCTCCAGCTTAGTAGCAGCATTTACACACTAAGACCCACTAGGGAGATGATTAAATTAATGCGAATATCAAAACAACTAAAAGTGAAAATTTAACCACAAACGAAAGATAAAAGCAAGCCCTCAATATTTTAAAAGGTGGCTGATCAAAGCATAGAAATGGATTTTGTTTCCAAGAATGTTCCTTGCTATTGCACCTCAGATGTGTTAAACTATCATCAGTTGTTTTTCAAAATAAGGAAAGTATAATAAAAACTTAGAATACCTTTGGCAGTTGAAAGTGTTTAATGCAGTGCAGGCCTCTTCACTAATGCATCTGAGTCGCCTTCTTTGATATCGTTTGAACAGAACCGTTTGAGAGAAGCTCCTTATTCCATCTGCACAAAAATGGCTACTGAATGAAATGATGGAATGTGAGACACGACAGCCCATCTTCCGAGTGTAGCCAAATCAGATTCAGGATCAAGGTACTCTGCAGGAGTGTGACAACACATTGTCCGTGTCACATTCTGTATAAAATAAAGAATACTATCTTAGTTAATCTTATGAGAACAGATGACGAGCTTCCATATGAATTGAAGTACAAACCTTGAGAAAAACGCTCTGATCCTACAAAACTGTAGTCATTGTTGATGCTGTTCCGAACCTTTGATCTCTCAGGAGAGCAGTAAGTCGCAATAAGCCACCAGCTCTGATAACCTAAAATAGGGCGAGAAATGGTTGTTTAAACACACGATGTTGGTAAATTTCGTAACCGCAATGCGGAGGTTATGTAACCAGCGCCGACCGGCGACCTACACATGATGTGCTGCAGCGGTGAAAAACACAGACAAGACCTCTCATGCTCCATGAATCTGAAACGCGGAGGAAATTCGCAGCCGATTTTGGTTTCTAAAAGTCAAGAGAGAGAGAGTCTCTGATTTAAATCATCGATGTTTTGTTTATAGAGCAGTGACAAGAACAAGAACAACATCAAGAACAACAACAACAGCAACACGTTGACCAACCTCAACACCTTGGGGGGCATTGGGAATTAGAAACCTGACTGCCTCCTAGCGAAACAAGTAAACGCATGACTGCCACATTCATTTAATAAAAGGCATATCATAGAGTCTAGTTGATTGAAGCTGTTTGTCGCCAGTTGGCTTGCTGTTTGGGGGCGGCCGTGTTTGCCCGACCGCCCGCTCCGGAGTTGCCGCGGCAATTCAAATCTTGGGAGCCGCCCGATCATAACTCCATGATAGGACAAGCAAGAGATACCCTAGGCTTGCTGGGAAGACGAGTGTTATGGACCTTTGGTTGAATGTGTATACTTTCTCTGAAATGTTCTTTCTTCTGAAATGCACAGGAAATATGAATTTCGGGGGGGGGGGGGGCGTATGAAGAGAAACTCAACTGCATCATGGTAGGGCTGCTCGGGTGTTCGTAAACACCAGCGGACTCCGCGCCGTGCGTCAAGGTGGACGACCCCCCGAGGCTCCACGAGCGATAAGTTGTGGTCTAGCCTTTCAAGTCAAGCAATAAGTGGGTCCTGAACCCGATGGCATGTGAGACCATCGAACCCCTAAAATGACCCATCTCAGATTCCAATTTTTTTGGTCTTGGGTGATGGGGACCGACCCCCTGAGCACCCATGCCAAAGGGTTTTCAAAAATATCAAGCGGTTTGGGTTCCACAACCATTTTAGTTTTTAAGTTTTCGAAATGTTTTAATTTGACGTAAAAGTGGTATTTTTGTTTTTGGGGAGTCCCATGATGGTTTTTGCCTATCGTTTCCTTTCAGATGAGTCAAAAGAAGAATTTAAGTGGGTTTTGGACCCTCTCGCTACAATGTCAGGTTTGCATAGTAATTAAAATTTATCAAAATTTAGTGAAATAACTGAAATTTTGCTCTACTGAAAATACGTTGTCATCGATTTTGACCGTTCCCTGGTCAAATGAGGGTGTTTATGGGTCGAACAAACTCCAAGAATAAAAAGGTGGGTTTTCGCACTCCTTGACTTCTATTGGGGCCAAAAACTATAATTTCCACACTGTAAAATTTCACTGAAATAGCCGATATTTTATCCTGTCCTCCTCATCTGCCTCGTATGAGGTTTGTATGGTCCAAATACCCAGGAATGCAAATAATTTGGATAAAAGAGGTGCTCCAACACCTAATAAGCAGTTTGAATAGAACATGAAGGTGTATTATCAACTTGTTAATTGTGTGTTGTGTATGACTATGTTTTAACCATAAAACCCTCCGTAAAATTGATTTGTACCTTATAGATGATCACCCAAGACAATTGGAATCTGAGATGGGTCATTTTAGGGGTTCGATGGTCTCACAAAGAATGGCCCGAATACCAAAAATGTTTTCCTTTAATGAACAGTAGAATACTTGGAATACTATATTTACATTACTTAGTAATGACTATTAACATACATCAGATACATCAGTAGCATAACCCGTTTTATACATTAACTTTACAAATTCACAAAAATATTTTTTAAACTATAAATACCATGAATACAATCAACTTGGTCCATTAATTAATTAATCTTGCTTGGCCCAGTTCTTGATGATGGCTGCAAACAAAACAGAGTGGTCATGAACAGTTCTTCTTCCTTTCTTCTTATTATTAACTGCATCGGTCGTACTCTCATGACTGCATTCACTTCACTTACCCAATAGCACGTCAGCAACTTTGCTGAGGATGGACAAGGAGTCCTCGGGTTTCGCATAAACGGCCATTCCCGCCATCAAGAAGAACGGAAACAGCAACAGGATCAGCGCCCATGTTCTGGAAAAGCAATTTTCAATGTAAGTATTATGAGGAAACGAACCTAACCTAACCATGACTAGACGTGTCGACTCACAGAGACAATTATTCATTTCAATGAAAGAAAAATGTTCATTGGTGCAGTTTAAGATGGTTCAAGTTCAGTTGTACAGTCCTGAGAAGTGTTCTTCGAGTCTCACAGCCTCTAACTGGACTTGAACTTGAACCATCTTGAACTGCACCATGAACATTCTTCTGATCATTGCACTGGACTTCTCCCTCAATCTGAAATTATTGCTCTCCAAACAATTAATTATTATTCTTTCCATTTTTTCAAAATCTTTAGCCATTTGCATGACCACCTAAGGTTTCAAAACAACGGTTATGAGCTGTATGACACTTTCCGCTCCGGCCTCGAGGGCAAGGACAGTCGTACTAAAACTATCAAGGCTGCACTTTCATGGTATACAGGTCAACTCCTCTTCTTATCACTGAGGCATATTACAAGGTAGGTTTACGCCAGACCGCGTCTTGTCGTAACAGGCTTCGCGATGTCTCGCTGCCTGTTCCTCCAATCCACGCCTGGCGTACCTACCTTGGCCTGCGGCGCTAGCCTGCCTGCGGCAGGCAATGGCTTGTCCGTTGTCGGTTATTTTTTAACTTGTTGAATGCTGGGGGGCTCCGCCCCCCAGACCCCCCTACATTCTAAATAGTGTCGTTTTATCTACAGATAACACGATCTTGACCCTTGTCACTTTTTAACTTGTCGAGGCTGGGGGGCTCCACCCCCCAGACCCCCCTTTCTCCAAGACAGAAATGGTCTCTTTGCAGAAATCTCTAGTTTTCGCCGTTTTTTAGGTGTTTTTCGCCTATAAAAACTGAACCAGTTGAGCTAGGATGGTGAAATTTCGCGTGTGCCGAGCCAAGGACATACCCAAGAAGTGTGCAAAATCTCACCGAGATCGGCCGAGCCGTTCAGGAGGAGTAGTGCGGACAGACAGACAGACAGACAGACAGACAGACAGACCGACAGACAGACAGACAAAACTTTTCAACCCCACTGGAGTAACAGGCTTCGCTATCGCTCAGCCAATTACTTGTAAGTATTTTCCCATCCTTATTTTGCCTGAAATTATTGCTCTCCAAACATTTATCAATTTTTCTTTCCACCTTCTTTATCATTTCAGCCATTGGCAGGACCAACAGAAAATTTTATTGTCTACTCAGGTCTGCAGCCTTGAAGAAATGAATTGAATTGGAAAGCTTGGGTCGCAAATGAGAATAGACTATGACTAAATACTCGAACCAACTGTGATCCTTAGTTAACAAGGTAGGTGTACGCCAGACCGTGTCTTGTCGTAACAGGCTTCGCGATGCTGCGCCAGTTTCGACAATCCACGCCTGGCGTTTACACCTACCTTGGCCTGCGGCGCTAGCCTGCCTTCGGTAGGCAATGGCTTGTCCATCGTCGGTTTCTTCCAGCTTGTTGCATGCTGGGGGGCTCCACCCCCCAGATGCCCCTCAGATCACACGATCTTGACCCTTGAAACTTTTAAACTTGGCAAGGCTGGGGGGCCCTGCCCCCCAGACCCCCCTTTCCTCAAGACAGAAGGCATCTGCCTGCAAACAACTCGATTTTTGGCCGTTTTTAAGGTGTTTTTCGGCTATAAAAACTGAACCAGATGAGCTAGGGTAGTGAAATTTCGCTTGTGCCGAGCCAAGGACATACCGAAAAAGTGTGCAAAATCTCTTCGAGATCGGCCGAGCCGTTCAGGAGGAGTAGTGCACACAGACACACAGACAGACAGACAGACAGACAGACATGAAAAACTTTTCAACCCCACTGGAGTAACAGGCTTCGCTATCGCTCAGCCAATTAGTTCTTTTATTTTTAGTCTTTCTTTACATCAACCAAAAACAAAGTAGTCATCTAAAGAGAATGAGTATTGTGCTCAACACTGTAATTTGGTGATATTCCAATTAGACAGCCCTTGACACAGTTAACAGAAAAAGTATGAGGTTTTTTTCAACTTTTTATGTAAAATTTGGAGAAAATGGCGTTATGAAAGTGTGAGTGGTCTGTGGCTGAAGTTGTTCAATGGTGATCTTATCTTGACTTTTGCCATTGAATGTGAAGAGAAAAGCATATGAAATGATGATAGGAAGCAACTTCAGAATGTAATAAACAATATATATCTCAGGTTTTTCTGTTATCAGTGTGCAAATTTTGATGAAAATTGGATTTTATATATGTAGTGACCCATATATTCGTTTCCTTTGACTATGACTAAATACTCGAGCCACAACTGTCATCCTTAGTTAATCAGTTCTTTTATTTTTAAATTTTGTAATGTTCTTTTAACTGGAGGGCAAACCCCTTACTTGAAGCTACGTGGGTGATTAAGGTTACCAGAAGTTGTTTGAATCATTAACATAATGACCATGTACATTGGTTTTGAATTAAAGAAATATGAAGTACAGTTTTTGTCACTCCTTTGTATGACGTGACTCCCTTTTAAAGGTTCCTCCAGCTGGCTTAATTGCTCGGTTCAAGAAATTAGGTATCAGTTTGGCCTAAAATCAAGTCACAAGGACTCAGACATGGATGAGAAGCACTTAGATTAAAATTCAAAGACAGCCGATGGAATGTCAAGTCAATATTGGCTACATGACACCGGCTGGTCCACCCGCAAACTGTGACTGAACAGGCTATATAACAAGTGGCGTTACTGAATCATTATTTGGAGTTGAATGCATAATTATTTGAAAACGGGCATTTGCGTGTCCATCCCTGCGAAAAAATGTGGCAGGCGAGGTGTTGAACCAGGTGTCACCTGGAAATGGCCGGGTAGAGGACTATGATGTAAACAGCTCCGAATGAGTTAAATGACAGGGGGGAAAAGCAGAAATTCAAGGAAGGCTCCTCTACAACGTCGAGATGCCAGAGGGGTGACTTCTTTCAGCCCTTAGCCGTGTTGCATCACATATGCCGGTCGCCACAGGAAAGGCCTTCGCCCCTTTTCGCCGCGTTTCAAACCACGGAGCTTATTATTGTACTTACGGCAGGAGTGGGCCCTTCTTGGCCCGTTTGCTCCTCTTACGGGGCATTCTGCTGTACGAAGGCTATGAATAACTTGGTAATAGGCAGGCGGGCAGCACAGGCTCTCTAGGCAGCACAAGACACCGTACCACATACACCTTACACCTGGAAATCAAAATATTGCAGCTCGAAACAACTGACAAGCACCAAAGCACGGCAACCATTGCAATGGCAAAAGTGGTTTTTGTCGCCGCAATAATCTCTGATTCGCAGCTCTGTTGATTTTCAAATGTTGTTTTAATCTTTTAAAACCCAAAGTGACACGATTTCTGTTACTTTTTTCCCACCTTTTAATTAACTGCCTGCTCTTTTAGATGTTCTAGGGTGGCTGTGTTGTTGGTGTGACGTGTCCACCAGTCATGAAAAACCCAGTCAGTCGTCAAGTAGCAGAAAGCAGAAGGCAGAAGACAATTTTGAGCCAAAAGAACCTCCTCGTCTGCTGTAAACTCGCACTATTTCATTGGAGGCATGGCTGTTAAAAGGCAAATCTTGTCTTACCTGCAATCGTGTCGGTGAGCTGGTGCACGGAACAACGAACCTCTGAAAGCATGCGTTGTCGGAGTACCATAACCTAACCTGCCTTTTTTTTCGTAGGAGACTTATGCAAATATTTCAAGGATTGTTTCTGTTCTTTGTGGGTTTAGTCCTCCTCGTTCCTCATGATGCATTGTTGCCGTTAGTATTCTTTTATATTTCGTCATCAAAACTTTCATTTCCTTACTTGGCTTAATAAAATTGATCCCTGCAGGGTTTGTGGGGCACTCTCCGTCATACTTTTCCTGCTGCTTGTCCGAATTATTTCGCGACCATCATGTGCTTCCACCATATATCATTGTGTGTGAGTAATCACTTTTCAAATGTGTTGATCATACCATTGGCCCTCTAATATATGCAAAACTGTTTACATTCCAGGACCTTCCTGCTTCTACCTTTCAACCTGGTAACATGTTGGTGTTTGTACACCAAGATTGCGCTGCAAACAACTTCCAAACCTTGCCCACCCAACATGGACTGGTTTAAAGTATTGGATGGTTAATTTCAAAATTAGTGTGTATGAGCGTCCTTTAACTGTATTTCATGGTATCATGGCGTGCGATTATGAACTCACTGATACTTTGACATAGTGACGAATGTCCAAAATTTTGATAAAATGAGATTTTTGGCTGCGTTATAGAACTTTTGATTTACTATCGCCTGGTGAAAAGCATGTATCGATATCTCTTCTAGATTCGGCGCAGGAAAATACTTCGAAATGACGAAAGTCCAGCTGTACTTTGACAAAATGACGAAAGTCCGCCGTACTTTGACAAAATGACGAAAGTCCAACCGTACTTTGACAAAATGACGAATGTCCAACCGTACTTTGACAAAATGACGAATGTCCCAACTGCAAAAAAACGGATATAGTCTATCGGTGCGTTCCCAACAAGAGGAATATCCATGAAAACAGTGACGGCATGATCATGGAACATGCCCGGGATGAAAACTTTCATTTATTTTGTGTTAACAGTAAAGTTGGACTTTCGCCATTTTGTCGAATTACACATGGACATTCGTCATTTTGTCAAAGTACGGTTGGACTTTCGTCATTTTGTCAAAGTACGGCGGACTTTCGTCCATTTGGCGTCCATTTCGTACGCTGAGAAATGACGAATGTCCACTATCTCGGGAACCAAGCTGCCGATTGCAACGGCTCTTGAACCCAAAGAACACGTATTCCTTCAGGAGTCTGTGGTATAAAATTTTACAATCAAATCCAATACCTCTATCTTCCAGCTCAATTTTTTAACTTGTTTTGGCTCTCCTGAAAAATCAGATATTGTGGACATTCGTCACTATGTCAAAGTACCAGTGAACTCTTCAACGAGTTATCTTTTACGTTTTGATATCCCGATTATAATATCTGGCACATCCAATGAAATATCATATTTTTTATTATTTAAAGCTTAATGATTGGCTAATTTGTGGGGAGATTATTGCAAGATCTGATCTCAGCAATGATTTATCTTTAACTTAAATAGGAACAAAATATCGGCTCTAGATTAAGTAATCCTCAGTTTAAGATTCAATTTTCATGGCTCGCATTGGCTCTTGAAGGCATTGAAGTCTTGAACTGCTTGGTTTTTTAAGGATATAGTCTTAATCATCTCTGCTAGGCGACTAAAATGTCTTTTCATTATTTAAAATGTTGACCTGCAATCATTCGCATAGTAAAATGAGTAAAATAATTGTCTGTAACTGGTGTTTTTTATTTTTTCCATAAATACCACCAACATTAGAACAAGTTATTATGAATTCTTATGAAAGATTTTTATTCTACATTGAGTTAACATAATGAAAAAGCTTCTCCAGTACAGTTTAAGTCACAACTCTTTTGGAATTAAGTTGAAAATGTTACATTTTCTGTCATACACTATTATGAGACAAAATACAACTTTTGAAAAGAAATTCAAAGTCGAATTTGCTTACACTGTTAGAAATTTTCTCCGTAATTTTACGGAGAAAGTTACTCTAATTTTGGGAATGGAGCCACCGTAATTTTTCCGTATTTTTCTGGAGAGATTTTTCTCCGTAAAATTACGGAAATTGGCAAAATCCTGACAAAATCCTAGTTACGTAATTGGGCCATTGAAATCCATGAAAATACGGAGAATCTCCGTAAAAAAATGGAAGCTGTATAAATCCTGAAATCCATCCAGCTCCGTAATCTATCCTTAAAAAATGGAGACTCTCTGTAAATTAACGGCAGCCAATATTCTAAAATCCGTAAAAATCTGTAAGCCTCTCAATAAGGGAACAGACTCAATTGGCTTCATACATGCATACATAAATCTATAAGAATCATCAAGAACCTATAAAGCCCCAATCCGACTGACTCACTCACTGACTCACTGACTCACTGACTCACTCATAGAAATGTTTGGGGTCAAGGAGTGGTCGTAGAGACTTGCGGTTTTTTCCATTCGATTCCAAATTTTATGGGAAAATTGGGAAAAATCCCAAAAGTTGAAAATTCCTCACCGTTTCCGAGAAAACCTACTTTATCTACAAAAAAGGGGAACAAATTTCTCACCGTTTCCGAGCAAACCTACTCAATCTTCAAAAAAGGGGACCGACCGACTAGAAATTTTTATTCACCCCATCGGTAGGTCTGGTCGAGACATTTCCGAATCTGTCCCGAGAGCGGTGCCATACTCTCGTGGGACTTAAGAGTCCTCTTGTATTGTACCTACTAAATAAATAAATCAATCAATAAATCAATCCGGTCTCCGTCACTGGCAACATCCTCAAAAAACGATTAAATAGGCCTAAATTCAACAAAATCCACTCAATCTTCAAAAAAGGGGAGCGACCGACTAAAAATTTTTATTCGCCCCATCGGTAGGTCTGGTCGAGACATTTCCGAAACTGTGCCGCAATCGGGTCCCCGTCACCGGCAACATCCTCAAAAACGATAAAGTAGGCCTAAATTTTACAAAATCCACTCTATCTTCAAAAAAGGGGAGCGACCGACTAAAAATTTTTATTCGCCCCATCGGTAGGTCTGGTCGAGACATTTCCGAAACTGTGCCGCAATCGGGTCCCCGTCACCGGCAACATCCTCAAAAACGATAAAATAGGCCTAAATTTAACAAAATCCACTCAATCTTCAAAAAAGGGGACCGACCGACTAAAAATTTTTATTCGCCCCATCGGTAGGTCTGGTCGAGACATTTCCGAAACTATGCCACAATGGGGTCTCCGTCACCGGCAACATCCTCAAAACGATAAAAAAAGGCCTAAATTCAACAAAATCCACTCAATCTTCAAAAAAGGGGACCGACCGACTGAAAATTTTTATTCACCCTATCGGTAGGTCTGGTCGAGACATTTCCGAAACTATGCCACAATGGGGTCTCCGTCACCGGCAACATCCTCAAAACGATAAAAATAGGCCTAAATTCAACAAAATCCACTCAATCTTCAAAAAAGGGGACCGACCGACTGAAAATTTTTATTCACCCTATCGGTAGGTCTGGTCGAGTCATTTCCAAAACTGTGCCGCAATCGGGTCCCCGTCACCGGCAACACCCTCAAAACGATTAAATAGGCCTAAATTCAACAAAACCCACTCAATCTTCGAAAAAGGGGACCGACCGACTAAAAATTTTTATTCGCCCTATCGGTAGGTCTGGTCTCGACATTTCCAAAACTGTGCCGCAATCTGGTCCCCGTCACCGGCAACGCCCTCAAAACGATTAAATAGGCCTAAATTTAACAAAATCCACTCAATCTTCAAAAAAGGGGACCGACCGACTAAAAATTTTTATTTGCCCTATCGGTAGGTCTGGTCGAGACATTTCCGAAACTGTGCCGCAATCGGGTCCCCGTCACCGGCAACACCCTCAAAACGATTAAATAGGCCTAAATTCAACAAAACCCACTCCATCTTCGAAAAAGGGGACCGACCGACTAAAAATTTTTATTCGCCCTATCGGTAGGTCTGGTCTTGACATTTCCAAAACTGTGCCGGAATCTGGTCCCCGTCACCGGCAACATCCTGAAAACGATATAAAAATATCAAAATAGGCCTAAACTCAACAAAATCCACTTAATCTTCAAAAGAGGGGACCGACCGACTGAAAATTTTTATTCGCCCTATCGGTAGGTCTGGTCTTGACATTTCCAAAACTGTGCCGGAATCTGGTCCCCGTCACCGGCAACATCCTGAAAACGATATAAAAATATCAAAATAGGCCTAAACTCAACAAAATCCACTTAATCTTCAAAAGAGGGGACCGACCGACTGAAAATTTTTATTCGCCCTATCGGTAGGTCTGGTCGAGACATTTCCGAAACTGTGCCGCAATCGGGTCCCCGTCACCGGCAACACCCTCAAAACGATTAAATAGGCCTAAATTCAACAAAATCCACTCAATCTTCATAAAAGGGGACCGACCGACTGAAAATTTTTATTTGCCCTATCGGTAGGTCTGGTCAAGACATTTCCGAAACTATGCCGCTATCTGGTCCCCGTCACCGGCAACACCCTTAAAACGATATAAAAGTTGGCCTAATTTTAACAAAATCCACTCAATCTTCAAAAAAGGGGACCGACTGACTCAAAATTTTTATTCGCCCCATCGGTAGGTCTGGACGAGACATTTCCAAAACTGTGCCGCAATCGGGTCCCCGTCACCGGCAACATCCTCAAAACGATAAAATAGGCCTAAATTTAACAAAATCCACTCAATCTTCAAAAATAGGGACCGACCGACTAAAATTTTTTATTCGCCCCATCGGTAGATCTGGTCGAGACATTTCCGAAACTATGCCGCAATCAGGCCCCGTCACCGGCAACGTCCTCAAAGTCATCAATCAAGAACCTATAAAGCCCCAATCCGACTGACTCACTCACTGACTCACTCACTCACTCATAGAAATGTTTAGGGTCAAGGGGTGGTCGTAGAGACTTGCGTTTTTTTCCATTCACCTCTATCCTTGTCAAAGCAGTCTTCAATATTTTCCGGACCTTGTATGCACCCATTGACTGCCACAGTAGCGAATGCAATACAAGCTATCTATTTGGGCAGTAAAAGTAGCTTATTATATGGTCTAAAGCTGTTAAATAGGCCTTTCATAGAAGCAGTACATTTACTTCCTTAGAAAATAAGCCTTTGGTCACCACGGACTTACTGAAAATACTTCGCCACGCGCCCCACACATGCGGGGGTCTGGGGGCGGAGCCCCCAGCGAGCAGCGCGAGTCAAGAACCTATAAAGCCCCAATCCGACTGACTCACTGACTCACTGACTCACTCATAGAAATGTTTGGGGTGAAGGAGTGGTCGTAGAGACTTGCGGTTTTTTCTATTCGATTCCAAATTTTATGGGAAAATTGGGAAAAATCCCGAAAGTTGAAAATTCCTCACCGTTTCCGAGAAAACCTACTTTATCTACAAAAAAGGGGAACAAATTTCTCACCGTTTCCGAGCAAACCTACTCAATCTTCAAAAAAGGGGACCGACCGACTAAAAATTTTTATTCGCCCTATCGGTGGGTCTGGTCGAGACATTTCCGAATCTGTGCCGCAATCCGGTCTCCGTCACTGGCAACATCCTCAAAAAACAATTAAATAGACCTAAATTCAACAAAATCCACTCAATCTTCAAAAAAGGGGACCGACCGACTAAAAATTTTTATTCGCCCTATCGGTGGGTCTGGTCGAGACATTTCCGAATCTGTGCCGCAATCCGGTCTCCGTCACTGGCAACATCCTCAAAAAACAATTAAATAGACCTAAATTCAACAAAATCCACTCAATCTTCAAAAAAGGGGACCGACCGACTAAAAATTTTTATTCGCCCCATCGGTAGGTCTGGTCGAGACATTTCCGAAACTGTGCCGCAATCGGGTCCCCGTCACCGGCAACATCCCCAAAAAACGATTTAATAGGCCTAAATTCAACAAAAACCACTCAATCTTCAAAAAAGGGGACCGACCGACTAAAAATTTTTATTCGCCCCATCGGTAGGTCTGGTCGAGACATTTCCGAAACTGTGCCGCAATCGGGTCCCCGTCACCGGCAACATCCTCAAAAACGATTAAATAGGCCTAAATTCAACAAAATCCACTCAATCTTCAAAAAAGGGGACCGACCGACTAAAAATTTTTATTCACCCCATCGGTAGGTCTGGTCCAGACATTTCCGAAACTGTGCCGCAATCGGGTTCCCGTCACCGGCAACATCCTCAAAAACGATTAAATAGGCCTAAATTTATCAAAGTCCACCCAATCTTTAAAAAAGGGGACCGACCGACTAAAAAATTTTATTCGCCCCATCGGTAGGTCTGGTCGAGCGGTTTCTGGAACTGTGCCGCAATCGGGTCCTGGTCACCGGCAACATCCTAAAAAACGATTAAATAGGCCTAAATTTAACAAAATCCACTCAATCTTCAAAAAAGGGGACCGACCGACTAAAAATTTTTATTCACCCCATCGGTAGGTCTGGTCCAGACATTTCCGAAACTGTGCCGCAATCGGGTTCCCGTCACCGGCAACATCCTCAAAAACGATTAAATAGGCCTAAATTTATCAAAGTCCACTCAATCTTCAAAAAAGGGGACCGACCGACTAAAAATTTTATTCGCCCCATCGGTAGGTCTGGTCGAGCGGTTTCTGGAACTGTGCCGCAATCGGGTCCTGGTCACCGGCAACATCCTAAAAAACGATTGAATAGGCCTAAATTTAACAAAGTCCACTCAATCTTCAAAAAAGGGGACCGACCGACTAATAATTTTTATTCTCCCCATCGGTAAATCAAGTCGAGACATTTCAGAAACTGTGCCACAATCGGGTCCCCGTCACCGGCAACATACTCAAAATCAATCATCAATTGTCATCAAGAACCTATAAGCCCCAAAATCCGACTGACTGACTTCCTCACTCATCAATCATCAAGAACCCATATAGCCCCAATCCGACTGACTGACTCACTCACTCATAGAAATGTTGGGGGTCAAGGAGTGGTCGTAGAGACCTGCGGGTTTTTCCATTCGATTCCAAATTTAATGGGAAAATTGGGAAAAATCTCAAAAGTTGAAAATTTCTCACTGTTTCCGAGCAAAGCTACTCAATCTTCCAAAAAGGGGACCGAATGACTAAAAAATTTTATTCGCCCCATCGGTAGGTCTGGTCGAGAATTTCCGAAACTGTGCCGTAATCGGGACCCCGCCACCGGCAATTGGGCAATCATCTTCAAGAATCTATATAGCCCCAATCCGACTGACTGACTGACTCACTTACTCACTCAAAGAAATGTTTGGGGTCGAGGAGTGGTCGTAGAGACTTAAGGTTTTTTTCCTTTCACCTCTATCCTTGTCAAAGCAGTCTTCAATATTTTCCGGACCTTGTATGCACCCATTGACTGCCACAGTAGCCAATGCAATACAAGCTATCTATTTGGGCAGTAAAAGTAGCCTTATTATATGGTCAAAAGCGGTTAAATAGAGCTTTCAAAGAAGCAGGACATTTACTTCCTTAGAAAATTTGCCTTTGCTCACCACGGACTTACTGAAAATACTTCGGCACGCGCTCCACACATGCGGGGGTCTGGGGGCGGAGCCCCCAGCGAGCAGCGCGAGTATACATATATACATGACCTCTTGTGCCTGCCCCTGTTTTGTAGGACTCAGAGTCCTACGCTTGCTGTAGCTGCTTACTTGAACGCTGGAGTTCTACTGTGGCCTAACAGCGCTGATGATGATGTTGATAACACCTATTCATGCTATTTATGTGAACACTAATGTTTTCCTAAACTTGTGTCCATCAGAAAGGGATGTAGACAGTAAACAGATTGACACACATTGTACCTCTGTTTTATTTCCACATCCTTCCAGAGCACAACACCAAAAACCGTTGAACAAAACCTGCTGGAGGATGTTCTTCTTGACTCATAATTGTTCTCATGACTGTTGGAGCCTAGAAAAAAACGCAACAAACACACAAGTTATTGGAAATTTTATGCTGAGAAAAGTAAAGACTTAGAAAACAAAAAAAACCTGTTGTTTTTTAACTTACCCATTGTGGAATTGCCAAACACTTTAACCAGCTTCATGAACTAACTGCCACAATGAGATTGAGTGGATAAAAGTAAATTGGATTTAAAAATCAAAAGGTTCTAGACCTTTGAGTCAGATAAGATAAATTGCTCTGTAAGTAAATATAAAAAATTACATAAAAGTTGAAAAGGAACAATATAATTAAAGATGGGACTAAAAACTTACCCCCACTTTTTAACACATAAGTCAACAAGCTAGGGCCCGCCCTTCCGTCGAACCGAGTTGCCAGCTCCGCTTCGCTGCGCCGGCAACTCGGTTCGACAGGGGGCCGGCCCAGCTTGGCCTGCCGGCGGCCTTTTCTCGGGCCTTCGGCCCTCGCACCAGACCCAACTTGGCCAGTCGAAGGCCCGGGCCTTCGGCCCGCTCGCATCACACACCCCGTGAGCGGGTAAAGCACAGTTATCGATGTACCATCGTGACTTAGGCCCGCCCTTCTATTCACAATATGCAATAGTCCTTACACTTTTTACTCCAACTGTCCTTAGAATATGCCCATTACATTTGTCTCTTCGCCCTCATTCCGAAAATACCCATATTTGCCATGCTACTGCAACTCCTTGCAATAGAGGCACAGCAGGAGCGCAAAACGAGTCCGTCGCACTTTTCCCCATAACTCATGAAGCCGGGCTCCTGGACCCCCCTTCCGACCCCTCGTTGAAGAGGTCTTGCCAAGACCTATCCAAAACTTAAGTAAAAATTTTCAGTCGGTCGACCCCCTTTTTTCAAGATCCTGATGTGACTAATAGACGAAGTCGGGCTCCTGGACCCCCTTTCCAACCCCTCGTTGAAAAGGTCTTGCTGGACCAATCGAAATCTGCAATAATTTTTTTTAGTCGGTCGACCCCCTTTTTTGAAGATCCTGATCTGGCCAACTCGTAAAAGCGGCCGATGGGGTCGGGACCAGGTCCATTTATCTTGTCTCGTCGCCCCGATTCCAAAAATACCCCTATGTGCCCTGCTAGCACCAATAATGGCGGAAATCCCCCTCCCGCTCATGTAAACCATGATGCACCTGCAGCAGCCCTTGTGCGACCCGGACGGGATTTGCACCACCGGATTATTTGTTTGGACGGTACTCCTGAAGTACCCTCCAAATCTGGTTACTCTAGCTCAACTCCTTCCTTGTACACAGACGCCAACAACAACAACAACAACTACAACAACAACAACAACAACACACAGACACAAAGGCAAATGCATAGGCCCTCCCCCTATTTTTTGAATAGAAGGGCGGGCCAAAAAGGAAATGCCTGAAGAGAAGTAAAGAATGTAGTAACAGTTGTGGGCAGATTGATGACTAATCATGAAAATATTTCAATAAGTAAGGCAGTAAATAGCCCTGAGGAAAACAAACCACATAGTTGTACAGACAGCAAAAAGCAAGCTCAGGAAAAAATTATGATAGATTACTGCTCACCTCATTCATTCACAATAGTAAAGCATCACTAAGTAGGATGTCAAAACATATTTTAAGTTATTTGGTAACATTCTAATAATTGAAGAGCTGTCTTAAGTCATAAACCAAATTATAATGATAAACCCCTGCATGGAAAAAAAATTTAGTAAGATGGTGATTGTTCCACCAACTATATGATAAATGACAAGAAAAGTGCAGACTCACCCCAACAATGAATTTTGTTTGACTGTTTTACCACTGCTAAAGATTCTACAGCAGGCTTGTCATGTGAGTGGATTGATAAAAAGAAACAGACTCATACTAAGACTCATATATGAGTGGAGCTCAAAGACTAGCTCTGAAAGAAGAAAGAAAACATGAGAAACTCCATCTGAAATGCAATGACAAAGGCATGAGAAGCAATTCTTACTTGTAATCATAAGAGAGGAACAAAACTCGGAAACATCTTTACATTCATTGGAAGTTGATTTTTGGTTGTTTCCTCTCTTCTGATTCTACAAACTGATAATGACTTAAACTACAAGAATCACTAAATGTATCACTGCAAAGAAAAAAGAAAGTTAGAAAGATGGTGGTTCTTCCACTCATTGAATGATAAATGACAAGAAAAGTGTAGACTCACCTCATCAAATAATTTTATTTCACTTTATTACCGCTGCTTATTAATTTGCAGCAAGCTCCATTTGTAGGCGGAGTGACGAGAAAAAATAGACTCGTACCCAGACTCAAATGAGTGGAACTCAAAGACTAGCACTGAAAGAAGAAAGAAAACATGAGAAACTGCATCTGAAATGCAAAATGACAAAGGCATGAGAAGCCATTACCTACTTGCAATCATAAGTGCGGAACAAAACTCGGAAACATCTTTACATTCATTGCAAGTTGTTTATTCGTTGTTTCCTCTCTTCTGATTCTTCAAACTGATAATGACTTAAACTACAAGAATCACTGAATGTACCCCTGCAAAGAAAAAAAAAACAAGTTAGAAAGATGGTAGTTCTTCCACTCATTGAATGATAAATGACAAGAGAAGTGTAGACTCACCTCATCAAATAATTTTATTGCACTGTTTTACCACTGCTCATTAATTTGCAGCAAGTTCCATTTGTAAGCAGAATGATGAGAAAAAATTGACTCGAACCCAGACTCAAATGAGTGGAACTCAAAGACTAGCACTGAAAGAAGAAAAAAAGCATGAGAAACTGCATCTGAAATGCAAAATGACAAAGGCATGAGAAGCAATTCTTACTTGTAATCATAAGAGAGGAACAAAACTCGGAAACATCTTTACATTCATTGGAAGTTGATTTTTGGTTGTTTCCTCTCTTCTGATTCTACAAACTGATAATGACTTAAACTACAAGAATCACTAAATGTATCACTGCAAAGAAAAAGAAAGTTAGAAAGATGGTGGTTCTTCCACTCATTGAATGATAAATGACAAGAAAAGTGTAGACTCACCTCATCAAATAATTTTATTTCACTGTATTACCGCTGCTTATTAATTTGCAGCAAGCTCCATTTGTAGGCGGAGTGATGAGAAAAAATAGACTCGTACCCAGACTCAAATGAGTGGAACTCAAAGACTAGCACTGAAAGAAGAAAGAAAACATGAGAAACTGCATCTGAAATGCAAAATGACAAAGGCATGAGAAGCCATTACCTACTTGCAATCATAAGTGCGGAACAAAACTCGGAAACATCTTTACATTCATTGCAAGTTGTTTATTCGTTGTTTCCTCTCTTCTGATTCTTCAAACTGATAATGACTTAAACTACAAGAATCACTGAATGTACCCCTGCAAAGAAAAAAAAAACAAGTTAGAAAGATGGTAGTTCTTCCACTCATTGAATGATAAATGACAAGAGAAGTGTAGACTCACCTCATCAAATAATTTTATTGCACTGTTTTACCACTGCTCATTAATTTGCAGCAAGTTCCATTTGTAAGCAGAATGATGAGAAAAAATTGACTCGAACCCAGACTCAAATGAGTGGAACTCAAAGACTAGCACTGAAAGAAGAAAAAAAGCATGAGAAACTGCATCTGAAATGCAAAATGACAAAGGCATGAGAAGCAATTCTTACTTGTAATCATAAGAGAGGAACAAAACTCGGAAACATCTTTACATTCATTGGAAGTTGATTTTTGGTTGTTTCCTCTCTTCTGATTCTACAAACTGATAATGACTTAAACTACAAGAATCACTAAATGTATCACTGCAAAGAAAAAAGAAAGTTAGAAAGATGGTGGTTCTTCCACTCATTGAATGATAAATGACAAGAAAAGTGTAGACTCACCTCATCAAATAATTTTATTTCACTGTATTACCGCTGCTTATTAATTTGCAGCAAGCTCCATTTGTAGGCGGAGTGATGAGAAAAAATAGACTCGTACCCAGACTCAAATGAGTGGAACTCAAAGACTAGCACTGAAAGAAGAACGAAAACATGAGAAACTGCATCTGAAATGCAAAATGACAAAGGCATGAGAAGCCATTACCTACTTGCAATCATAAGTGCGGAACAAAACTCGGAAACATCTTTACATTCATTGCAAGTTGTTTATTCGTTGTTTCCTCTCTTCTGATTCTACAAACTGATAATGACTTAAACTACAAGAATCACTGAATGTACCCCTGCAAAGAAAAAAAAAACAAGTTAGAAAGATGGTGGTTCTTCCACTCATTGAATGATAAATGACAAGAAAAGTGTAGACTCACCTCATCAAATAATTTTATTTCACTGTATTACCGCTGCTTATTAATTTGCAGCAAGCTCCATTTGTAGGCGGAGTGATGAGAAAAAATAGACTCGTACCCAGACTCAAATGAGTGGAACTCAAAGACTAGCACTGAAAGAAGAACGAAAACATGAGAAACTGCATCTGAAATGCAAAATGACAAAGGCATGAGAAGCCATTACCTACTTGCAATCATAAGTGCGGAACAAAACTCGGAAACATCTTTACATTCATTGCAAGTTGTTTATTCGTTGTTTCCTCTCTTCTGATTCTACAAACTGATAATGACTTAAACTACAAGAATCACTGAATGTACCCCTGCAAAGAAAAAAAAAACAAGTTAGAAAGATGGTAGTTCTTCCACTCATTGAATGATAAATGACAAGAGAAGTGTAGACTCACCTCATCAAATAATTTTATTGCACTGTTTTACCACTGCTCATTAATTTGCAGCAAGTTCCATTTGTAAGCAGAATGATGAGAAAAAATTGACTCGAACCCAGACTCAAATGAGTGGAACTCAAAGACTAGCACTGAAAGAAGAAAAAAAGCATGAGAAACTGCATCTGAAATGCAAAATGAGGCATGAGAAGCCATTACTTACTTGCAATCATAAGTGCGGAACAAAACTCGGAAACATCTTTACATTCATTGGAAGTTTATTTTTGGTTGTTTCCTCTCTTCTGATTCTTCAGACTGATAATGACTTTAACTATAAGAATCACTTAATGTACCCCTGCAAAGGAAAAGAAGAAAGTTAGAAAGATGGTGGTTGTTACACTCATTGAATGAGAAATGGCAAGAAACTGCAGTCTCACCCCAACAGTGAATTTTATTTCGCTCTTTTACCGCTGCTAATTCATGTGCAGCAACCTATTTTTGTAAGCGGATTGATAAGAAAGAATAGACACGTACTTAAACTTAAATTAGTGGAATTCAAAGTCTCGCTCTGAAAGATGAAAGAAATCACGAGAAACTACATCTGAAATGCGATCACAAAGGCATGAGAAGCCATCACTTACCAGTAATCATAATTGTAGATCAAAACTCAGAAACATCTTTACATTGATTGGAAATTGTTTAATCATGTTTCTTCTCTTCTAATTTTTTAAACTTATAATCACTTTAATTACAAGAATCACTTCATGTACCCCTGTAAAGAAAAAAATATTAACAAAAATCAAGAACCACTGTGAGGCACAAATGAGAGAAACATAATAATAAACCCAAACTGTCAAAGGAGAAGCAGTCAGTAATAATAATAAAGTGGTTGAAAGAATGGTACATACCGGTTTCTATGTTCATAAGTAGGACAAAAAAAAATTGGAAATTAATTCTTAGGCAGCGAGTTTTACTTAATTTGCACTCTGTTCCTCCAGCAGGTGTTTTTTGAAATCATCATATTTTGCCATGAGAGTTGAAACTTTGGCACTTACACCTTGACCACCTCGCCCTGCCTTTCTACTCCTCTTTGTTCCAGTTTGGGGATCAATTCGAGCAATTTGCCTGTAAGAGGTTTTTTAATGTAAATATTGAACTCTTAGTAATTTTCTAGACAGTACCACAAATATAGTACACAATAAAAACCTTTGAATAAAGTCACATGTAAAAGGTGCTCCTACTGGGTACATGTAATTTGCCATGAAAAACATAGAAAACCACAATGAAGTTGCGTGGACAGCTTCCTTAATATTATGATTCATGACAGTTCTGTCTACGAACAACATATACTTGTGTGCACACAATTCTGATTGGCCTGTAATAAAAAATATTAAGAAACATAAATGAAATAAAATTTGTATGAGAACCAGATTTACTAATGATGTGCTGTATTTGAACTATTTGAAACTAGACTTTTCATGACTTACCCATTGCAATCATCACGGGACTTGTGGGTAATGCTGTCACATCTATCTCACCAGGAAGCTTTGTGGGCTGCAAGAGGGGAAAAAACAGAACTTAGAAGAAAGAAAAAAATACTTTGGACAGTAATCAAAATAAACATAACTTACTTCCTCCAATCTTATTAGAGATGTGAGATCTTCATCAAAGTAAATGGTGAGCGCTTTGATAACAGCAAAAATCTCAATGTCTTTGAATCCACATTCCTTCCATTCCTGTAATTGTCTTTGCAATCTAACATACATCCATGGCTTGTCTCCCTTGCCAGTAGTTGATATATACTGCAAGAAGTCTTGGGCCTCTTCTGCTAGAAAAAGTCTAGTGTTTCTAATCAAATTTTCGCCCGTTAAAATTTGAACATGCTCATTTGCACATGTAGGCTCAAGGAGAATTGGCCACGAGTCTAACAAGGGAAGTGCCCCAGGTGTTACATCCAGATTTTGATCATATTTTGGGGATCTCTTCTACTATACAATAGACTAATTTTCCGCGTAAAAGATTTTGCTGAGATATATTACAACGGGTTTTAAACCTAGGTCCAAATTTTCAAAATCACTCAAAAAATATTTTTTGACCAAAAAGTTTCTAAATGGCCTGAAACGTCCAAAAATATGATTTTTTTCGATTTTGGAGAAAAAAATTTTTTGTCCTCACTAAAGTCCAAAAACTTGAAAAAAATTCAAAATCACATTTTAGACCAAAAAGTATCCAAATGGTCTAAAACGTCCAAAAATATGATGTTTTTTTCGATTTTGGAGCAAAAAAATTTTTGTCCTCACTTAAGTCTAATAACAGGAAAAGTAGCGATATTCATCGGCAACTTTGGCCCGTCCCGTACATTATGAAACGTTCAAATTTCGCCTATGTTTGACCCTGACGGGAATTAAACCTGAGTCTGGGGTTAAAATAAATGTAGTTTTCGTCATCAGCACCCTCAAAAGCATCTGAAACAATGCGAACACTCGAATAAAAAGAATGTTTAAAATATACCCCACTGGGATTTGAACCCGGGTCCAAACTTCTCCGATTTGCTTGAAATTGGCACCATTGGTTTTGTCTTGTCACCCTGATTCCAAAAATACCCCTACATGCCCTCCTAGCTGTATCCGTTGCCGAAATCCTCCTCGACCCCATGTACACCATGATGCAACTGCAGCAGCGCCCCCGGGGCTCGGATCGGATTTGCTGCCACCGGGCGGTTCTTAGGGTCACCCAAGGAGGCTGCATACCAAATTTGGTCAAGATCGGACCACGGGAAGTCCTCGGACGGACGGACGGACAAACGGACGGACGGACGCACAGCAGGGATCATACTACTGTATATGCCCGTCCCTCCGTCATTTTTTTACAAAAAATAAACGGGACGGGCCAAAAAATGACGTAGTTGAACATTGCGTACCATACCTCAATTATTTTGTCAAAATCTTGTTATCTGGCTTTCAAGTTTTTTCACGAATATTGACTAACGTCAGAACAAAAAGATTCTCCAAACGCGAATAAAATCATATTTTTAACGTTGCGGATCTTGGAGACTATTTGGTCAAAAATGTATTTTTTTTTTAATTTTTAGACTTAAGTGAGGACAAAAAAAATTTTTGCCCCAAAATCGAAAAAAATCATATTTTTGGACGTTTTAGACCATTTGGAGACTTTTTGGTCAAAAATGTGATTTTGAATTTTTTTCGAAGTTTTTGGACTTTAGTGAGGACAAAAAATTTTTTTGCTCCAAAATCGGAAAAAATCATATTTTTGGACGTTTCAGGCCATTTAGAAACTTTTTGGTCAAAAAATATTTTTTGAGTGATTTTGAAAATTTGGACCTAGGTTTAAAACCCGTTGTAATATATCTCAGCAAAAACTTTTATGCGGAAAATTAGTCTATTGTATAGTAGAAGAGATCCCCAAAATATGATCAAAATCTGGATGTAACACCTGGGGCACTTCCCTTGTGAGTCGGCCGGCCGGGAAAAACCAGGGTGACCACAACAAACAAACCCTGTTCTCGGCCCGGGCCAAGGAATTTGGGGGAACGTACCGTCAACGGGGGTAACTTGGGACAGTCTGTCCTGTACAGCCTGTTGGTGCTGCCATTCAGCGACGGGGGTTCCTAGCGCCAAACCCGCGGCAGGGTTTTGTTTCGGCCTCAGGGCAGGCGCGGAAAGGTAGAAGAGGTGCATAACATCACAATTAGTATTTGAGAAACAGGATACTACAGGAAACAGGATTTTTGAGAAAATATGTCAATCATTGACAAGTTGACCCTAGTGCAAGGAGTGAAATGCAGATTTGGCCGATTAGTCTCTCTGGATTAATAGATCATACGCAGACAATAACGTTCGCAAAAGGGCGTTGATTATAGTTTTCCCATCTTCGGTCCAGACTTCAATTTATCAAAAATCGAAATTTTACGGGGTAACTTGGGATAGTCTTTTCCTCATGTTTCCAGCACTCCTAGCCTCCTAGGAGTTGACTGACCCGGTCCCTGACGTAACTTCAATTTCGGATTTTACGCTGATGACGGAAAGAGATGCCTTGCTCTGCAGTTTTTATTGTCTTCTGGTAATCCATATTTTGAAATTTTCAGAAAATGCTTGGATAATACCAGTAGAAAACAGAGTTCCACGTAGAGCCCTAGATGTAGTCCAATATCGGTCCTACAATAGTTCCTAGGCCTGAATTCTTGGTCTGCATGATGTGAATTCAATTTATTACATCCATTAACATCAATAGATGCATGGGAATGTAGCTAATTACCTACTGTCCCAAGTTACCCCCGGTCATGGGGTAACTTGGGACACTCTTTCGAGACCGCTGAGAAACGATATAATCGAGGCAAATGAACCAGACAAGCATGAAATGATGGGGGAAAGGGTCAAACTTTAAGGGCTCATACGTTTTGAAATGGTCAAAATATCGGTTTTCTGGTTACGATGCCTTGAGAAAAAGCACTCATTTCCGCGTCTTTTAAGCCTAAGGAGAGGTCCGAATTCGTAAAGCTCGCGCCACAGGAGCTCGCGCAGCATTGTTCTGCACTGTCCCCCAACACGTATCCAGCGACCCCCGGGGGTGGAGGCGTGACCTTTGACCCCTGTTTTCTCAGCTCGCCTTTTTTTGACCTTGCTCGTAAGATAACTAATGACTCGCTTTGGTTTGAGGTCTGCAATTTTAACTGAGTGTTCGCAACATCAGTAAGCATAGAATTGACTACAATGACGAGGATTAGACAAGATTTAGTTGATGAACAAATTTTTTCAATTAATAAATTTGATACATTTTAGTAAAAAAATGAAGATTATTTTTTTTCTCCCAAACTACTGAACTTAGAAACACAATTGTAGTCAATTCTATAGCGGGCATAGAAAGGAGTCTCCAGTAATTTTTTTTTTCAAATCGAACCAGAATTGTGGTCTGAATCTTACGAGAATGAAAATTTTAGACTTCACAATAAAATCTACAAAAATGGTCCAATCTCAAACTTTTTTTTTTTTAAATGTTCATTTTTCTATTTTTTACTAGGATTTTTGACCAGAAACTCAAAAAATTTTGTCCCAAAATATTTAACACTACGAAAACCGAAGTCATGTTTAAAACGTATGAGCCCCCTTAACATAGTTTGGATCCATTGGTCTGGGTTGAGAATCTTGCCTCCACTCTGAGAAAAAATGACGGTAAATCCTGGATAATTCTTTTGCCAAACTTTACCGTACTTCAAAAACCAGTATCCTCCGTACAGTCTACAGTATTTACCGCACTTGTTTTACAAAATATTCCGTAGTCTTTTAACAGTAGTTACCGTTCTTCCGTACAGTCCATGCCGTAGGAAAGACCAGATCTGGTCCCAACAAAGGCCGCTTCCAAGAAGTGTCCAGATCAGGATCTTGAAAAAAGTGGGTCGACCGACTGAAAAATTTTATTGCACCTTTCAATAGGTCTCGTCAAGACCTTTCCAACGAGTGGTCGGAAGAGGGGTCCAGGAGTCCGACTTCAGCAGTTGCGTACATCACCCAGTCAACAAAACATAGTCCCGGTCCGGGACGGACCATGTTCGGACTATCCCTATAGTGGTCCCTGCATGGTCCCCTGGGGATGTCCCTCATGGACCTCCCAG